CTCCCCCCCCCCCCCCCCCGGTCCCCCTTTATTTGGCTTAAATATCATTAAGTACCCTAAATAAAAAGGGGTGAACCTAGGGGGTTGTCTAGGTAGGGGAACCCACGTAAATAAAGTCTGCAGGTATCTTTAACTTTCATTTGGGGGTTTAGGGTTTGTAGTGTCGGTTTGGGACTGGAAGTGGCGATGTGCAAGTGGTTCAGGAAGCTTACTATGAACTGGCGAGGGGCTTGGTGTTCCGAGGGGAACTACAGCAGAGCTATCAACATTACGACTCTTTGTTTTGCAGCCTTATGTTAAAGGTTTTCGGGCTTCGAAGGGAAGTCCCTTCAAAACAGGCTCCCATAATTTTGGGCCATGAGACAGGGACCCTGGATGAGTTTCGCATGCATCATACTGCCCCGAACCCAATTTAAGCCCTAAACCCTAAACCGTCCCAAGGTATCCCCGCGCATGTTCCGTATAACTTGTGCCGAAAATGTATCTTAGAGTCAGGTTTTGGGGCATGTTATATCATATTGCGAATAAATTAAGGTTTATGCCTAACACGATTAGTCTTACATTCCCTGCTACCATTCCATTGTGAATTGTCCCTTCCATTTGCGCCATACTTAAGATAATATATTCGGTCCCGAAAGCCTAACCCCTTAAGCCTAAAGCCCTATGTGCATCCTGCATCCTTCTGTAACGTTGTTACGGGACCCGGTGACACCTCCATGAAGCCTAGCTATGATACCTCCATGAACCCCTAGATACGCCTACAGCTCCCTTGAGGCCCTCTTAAACTCGAAGCTTGAAATCCGAAACCCCAAGCCCTAAATCCTAAACCCAAGCCCCAAACCGTAAATCCTAAACCGTAAACCCCTAAACCCCAAACCCTAAACCCTAAACCTTCTAAAAGAGGGTCTTAGACAAAGTTAAGCCTAAGGTGCCTGCCGCTTCGTGGCGGCGAGGGACCTTGGGCCATCGGCCGCAGCTGGGCCGCAACAGTCTAAGGTCCCAACCCTAGACCCCCAATAGGGGTTATATTGGGATAATGGAAAATAAAATGGAAACTACTATTATAATGGAGAATCA